TTAATGCTATTAGTGATGTATTTTTTAGTGGTCTAAATCATTGTTGTAAAAAATTTTACCACATAATTGATTTGACATACCACAACAATGCAAAATTTGAGAGGCTCATTGGCACAAATTTCCACACCAACTAAAGAAGTTGGTTTTAATGTCATTGAAGGAAAGCCCACAGATTTTGTATAAGAAGTTTGGTGAAACCAAATTAGCCTAAGATACATTGCATCTTCTAAGTTATGATCATGGTTTCAATTAAATAATAATATTATTATTACTATTCATCTTTGGTTTGATGAGTGACGTATACCTACCACTGCATTAATAACTTAGATCTAACTATTGGATCTCTCAAATGCACACACCCAATATTGGTATATATTTGCTATTAATGAAAAAATTTTGGTCACCTTCTAAATTCCAACACACACACACAAAAGAAAAAGAAAAGAAAATGGGTTTTGGTGTTGTGTGGTGAGCATCAGGTCTGGGTGACCAAGTAGATAAGTGCCACCAAAAGATTACATCAATAAGTGGTGAATGAAACATCAGATTGTTCCACATCTAGCCTGCCTTTCTTTTTGTAGTTCTTCTTTTTATCTGTATTTTTAATTTTGGTCTTCTTTCCACACAAAAATAAAATTAAAAAATTAGGGTCTTTTAAACTAGTTCGTATAAGATTTGAACGGTCACTAAGGATTAAAAAAAAATTAAAGTGTCGGTTCACAACGTTTGCATTTTATTATTTTTTATTTACAAAAAATATTAAATTTATTTTAAAAATAAGTAATAGCGGTGGTCGTAGGTGGTTGCCAATGGCCAAAAGTGGTTGTTGCTGATGAGAGGAGATTGACAATAACCAGAAGTGGATGTCAACTAAGATTGGTAGTGGTGATTGAAAGAGAACCAGTGGCCAACGGTGATTTGGCGCCAATAGGTGATGGTTTACGACCATTGAAAGTGGATACCGGTGGAGATGATTAGAGGAGGTTGTTGAGTGTAGTGGCCAGCGGTTGGGTCACTCGAAATGGTGGTTATAAGGCGTGGGTACCAAAGGAGTTGGGAGAAAAAGAAAGAAACCAAAGCTTATTATCAAAACTAGTGAATATAACTTTCATTTTTTTTTTTAATTTTAACAATAATTGAGTAAAATTTGTAAATCGTTTATAATTTTTCAAAAATGAAAATAGACATGAAAGGAACTTTTATTTATATATTTTTATTTTCTGTAAACATAAACCAAAAAAACTAAAACCATAAAAATTAACAAAAGAGAATCCATCCAACTTCATTATTTAATGGACCTTCTTTTTTTTTTTTTAATTTAAGAGCTTCTAAATTAGAAGCACCTAAATAGTAATAAAACTAACCCCCCCAAAAAAAACTTTTAAAAAAAAAAATACTAATGGGGCCTATGGGGTTCACAATTAGCCTAGCCCATCACACAATTGATTCCCTAACTAAATTATAACGTTTGATTATTTCATACGCCAAAGTTGAAAATTAAGTTAGGCTATACCATGTCAGCCCAACAATTAGCGGCCCAATTTTCCTCTTGGATTTCTCTGAACTTGACAATTTCATGGGCTGGCCTGCATGTGGGACATATGTTGAATCAACATATGTGAAATCTAAGCCCAATCCAAGCCCAAATAAATGCAAATAAATGAGTATTGAGTTTGTCAGCATATTCTACCAATGATTGTTTATTGGACATTTGTTAAAAATCAAATAATGTCAAAAATAAAATAAAATTTTAATACACATTTTACATATTTTCCTATATTTTTATGTTCTTTTATATATTTTTTACACATACCAATGCTAACCACTTAAACTAGCTCAGTTGATTGCTATTGTACACTCTTTTTGGAAGGTCAAGTGAATCAATCTTTATCAAATGTGAAAATTAATCAGTTTTTTCCTATAGATTCTTTCTTTGGTTTTCTTTGATTGTTTGTTTCTTTTCTAATTCTGGAGGCTCTTGATTGTTAGTGTCAAGCTTGCATGCTTGCATTGTTAGTTTTTCTTAAATAGTTATACATATTTTTCTACGGATTGGAAAAAATAATAATAATTTAATCACCACCCAATAGCTTTATTAGCATTTCTCTAATAATATATAAGAAAATTCTAACACAAAAAAAAATTATACAATTTTAATTATTAATTATTAAATTTATAACACCACTGAATTTATTCTAAAAATATTGAATAATTTCTCATCGATAAAGTGATCATGTTAGAATGGCATTAAGGATATGTTTGGATGATGAAATTGTGTAGGAATTTTAAAATAGAAAGAAAAACAAATGCATATATTTCGGTCACCTTTCTCATTTTTCTTTTTGAATTTCTACTAAAATTCATAATCTAAATATAGTATGATTCTTACCTACTAGATATTTTCTCAAACGGTGATACTATACGCACCAATTGATATATCAATTAGTGTACCAACATATGTTATGACATTATCACTTTAAAATTATGATCTAACCCATTATACAATTTACAAAAATCCAAAACCTCTAAAATTATGTTACATTATCTATTAATGGACTAATTAATGTATCAATTGATGCATATAACATTATTAAATTATTTCATTATAGCCGCATACAGTCTTGGAAAAGGGGAAGCACAAAGCAATAAAATCACTTTGGATTTTGATTCTCTGACAATTTGTGTTTGATTAACAATGCCATTGCATTGGTGTTAGGACTTCCAAAGATTCCTGTGTTCTCTGCCAAAAAGTTTCTAAACCAAAAGCAAAAGCAAATGCAAAAGAAAGGCCTTTACAGAACAATTTCATCAAAGTAAAATTGTGACCCTAAAAGATTGAGAACTATAAAGTAGTTCTTCACATTGCCACTGACTTTATAGATCAAATGAGATTTGATTAGTTGGTCTCTTAAGTCTCGACCACGAAGTTCTAGTCATCAAAGAGTCAATGATTTCAATACCTAAGTTCAATTATAAAGACAGAGGGAGAAATTAGTGTTTATGTCACTCTTATACTGTGTTTGGTTGGAGAATTTAGAAAGAAAAATAGAAAAGGAATGTGAAATGTGAATAAAATATACTTACATTTTACTTAATTTCACACACCCTTTTTCTTTCCTTTTCCAAATCTCTTCCTAAATTCTTCAACCAAACACAACATTAAAGTCCCAGAGTACACCACAAAAGGTGTGTTGCTTACCCTGTAGAGAGAATATAACTTTGGGCCAGTTTGGTCCACGATAAAATTAAAGTTAAAAGCATCCCCCCAACTTTTCAACAATCAGGTTTTCACTTTTGCTTCATAAGTTATTCTAAATGGTTTGGCACCCTCTGGTCAAGGCAACCATAGCCAAAGAAACAAAACCAAAACAGCTGGTTCCGACCTTGAGGTCTATTCTCGTCTTTACCCTTGTGTACCGCCAAGCGGGATACAAAAACAAATATTGTCCCAAACACTTCATAAACTGTACCAAACATAACCTTTATTTAGTTTAGTTGAGTAGAAAGGTACACTTCTAGAAAAACACGTCTCATATGCCTTCAAAATTCAATCATTATACTGGAAAGCTTAGTCCTAGAGCAAATAAATCTTCTTTTTTTGTCTAAAGAAATACTCCATGACAATGTAAAGCAATAAGATAAAATAATACAAGTATCAAATTCCTAAGCCATGGTCATATTTTATGGTCTTATCCTGCTCATGATGAGTTTAAAAAAATGCATATTTTCTATTCAGATTTGTCTAATACTAGCAGACAGATCATTTCAGCTCAGTTTTCCAGAGAATAGCTTCACATTAAAAAATAAATAAATAAATATTTCTCCCAAGAATCCAAAACCAACTAGAGACTTTGTTTAAGATTGTTGTTATTCTTTCTGCAAGTATAAAAAATAGTTCCAGTCCACGAGAGTTCTGTCAGTGTGAAGTTTGGAGAGAGTCAGATAGATATACGTAGTCTTATTCCTATATGCATAGAGGATATTTATGAGATGCCTAGATTGCAATGGAGCAACTGAGGCAAATAAATATTAATTGAATCCCCCCAAAAGAGACGCATAATCTACTCTAATTAAACATTACACATCCCTAGTTCAAGATATATTATTAAAAGCATTGATACATATAGAGGCCAACTGAAAAAGAGTGTCACTCCATTATCAATCAAGTACTGTAATTCACAATATTTAGAATGAACCATTAAAAACGCCGCTAAAGAACGAATTTCCTGTAGTGCCTGTACGGTTTAACATTAATTTGGAAGCAAACTAAAACAAAAATTGGCTTGTTTGGTATAGTTTTTCTTTTCAGTTAATCAAATTTTTTAGAACTCATTCGAATTATTTTTATCTCATAAATTATAAAAAAAAATTATACCAAATACTCTGACACAACTCAAAATAGATAAATAAAATTATAACCAACCCAATAAATTGTACCACCAAATTAATATGAAATCCAATAAAAAGTTAGAGAGAGAGAGAGAGAGAGAGAGAGAGAGAGAGAGAGAGAGAGAGAGAGAGAGAGAGAGAGAGAGAGAGAGAGTGATTGTATACCACCACATTAGCACTGGAGATAAATAGGGGTGACCTGAGACCACTTAAATTAAACTAGGTGGAGTAGCCACTCATATAGGTTGCTTACATCTGGGAAGCAATTTCATTCATGGGTTTGATAGTGTTTTAATTGTCAATGCTTTTGCTTTAATACTTATATGCAACTCTCTCCATAGGCTAATTGGACATTCAAATTGCTTGCTGACACGTCGCAGTATAGAGTGAAAAAGTAAAACAAGTGATGATGGAAAACAGCTATCAGCATTGTCCCAAAAGGTTGACTTGTTGGCACTCTCAGCCACTATTGCACATTGTTTTTTGTAGTCTTTGGAGACTTTACCTGGACCACTATCTTCACGATGACTAAAGCTCTCTCTCTCTCTCTCTCTCTCTCAGAGATTAAAGTGTGTCACATGAGCATAGATAGTATAAAATGATGATGGTGGGTTGGGCCCATCTTATATGGAATTTGTGAGCTCTGTAACTGCCTTATTTGGGGTTTCATGTGCTCTCTCTTTGCATGTATTTATATACCCAGGCATATGCCCCCTTCACCACCCCCAACTCCCAACTAAATAAACCTCTCTCTCACTCTCACTCTCACTCTCACTCTCTCTCTCTCTCTCTCTCTCTTACTGAAGCTTGACACAATGAAGCAAAACATCCATTCTTTTACTCTTATGTTCTTCCTTCTTTTCCTTATTATTACCAATTCACAAGCATTAGCCCGTTTCTTAGCATCCGAGCAAGGTTTATAAATACCTTCATCATCATCACTTCTTCTACCCATTTATGAAACTAAAAGTTTGCATGTTTTGCAGGAGAAGGGGGGCCAAAGCTGCATGAAATCACTACTTTGGGTTCACTTGTAGAGATGGAAGAGAATGATTCTTTGAATGTAATTCTTTTATTCCTTTTTGTTATTATTACCAATTATGAAGTTTTTTTTCTTTCTAATTGATATGGGATGCGGTAATAAAAAAATATATGAATTTATTTAATTTAACTAAATATATAGCCATTGACAAGTAAAGTGAGGGGTAAAAAATATATATAACTGATCTCACTTGATTAGGAGATAAGGCTTTAGTAGTGTGGATCTTGATAAATACTAAACATTAACCAATCCAGATTTTGAAATATGTGTATTTTTAGTATTTTCACACTTATGACACGTCCTAATTTTTTATGTTTATAATTGAAGGAAGGCAACGATCTCTCATAATCTCTTGTAACCTTTCTGATCATAGTGAAAATCACAGTATGTGTGGATTTAATCCTAGTTTGGAGTGAACCACGTAAATATTATGTTTGTATGTACCTGGGATTTTTTTATTTTTTATTTTTTTGGTACGTTTGTTCATTTCTGTATTTCGTGGTTCACCAATCCTAACTAGCTATTATGGATTCTAATAGACTTGTTTAATTTGATTTGATTTTATTTGGTTTAACAATTTGCAGGAGCTGAAGGGGTTGGAGGATTGTCACAATGGAGATGAAGAGTGTGTGAAGAGAAGGATGGTTGCAGAGGCCCACTTGGATTACATCTACACTCAACATCATAAGCCCTAAATGTCAAAAGACCCTCTTTCAAGTAGTTTATAGCTCAAACCTGTTCTAAAGACCCATCAGGCATCAGGAGTTACTTCAAGGCAGTGGTTTTTTTTGTCCCTTTGAAAACTTCCACTAGTATTGGGTTTGGGTTTCAGAGTTGTATTTTGTTATTATAAAGATATATTGTAACTGTTACATTCAAGTATTGAAGTATGGTTATGACTGTTTCCTCTAGCATTTTGCTTTTGTGATGAATTATTTTACAAAATAGACCGCCTTCTTGGTATTGGAATGAAGGGACGACTGTCATACTTATCGATTAGAGGTGAACTATATATATATAGGTTAGTTACACTAATGGTCTCAAAGTATGCGACCTATTTGCACTTCAGTTCCGAATGTTTTAATGTTTATAATTTGATCTCCAAATTATGGGATTTGTTACACTAAAACATTGCCGCCGTTCAAAATCAATAACTAGAGGATAGGTGTTTTTGAAATTTTACACAAAATCTCAACAAACTCAAAAAGACTAAATACACACATGATCTCCAAAGTACGCATTTTTTGATCGCCATAGTATGCACTTTGTTACATTTTGGTTCTCAATTTTTTCCTTCTCTTTTTTTTTTTTTTTTTTAAGTGTAGATTAGGAGTGTAACAGATCCATCACATATTTTGAGTAGCAGACAGAAATTAAGACAATTGATTACACAATTATGAAGTAGCTCAGTGATTAAACAATTGATCTACCACAAACTTTATTCTCACCATTTTATATATTTTCCCTCCCATGATATCAGCTTTCAATCCAACACTAACATATAAAAGTCATGAAACGGGTCATATCGTTTAACCTGTTTAAATATGCACAAGTCTCTTAGATACTGTTTTTATGGCACCTTAAATTCATGTTTCATGAGAATGCATTGAAATTTAACAATATATGTATATAAATTCAGATCTAATAAGTAATATAACAAGAATTCAAGATGAGCTGAGAGAGGAGAAAAGATGAATCCTCCAATTTGTTTTCTACAAAAATAAAATCTCACAAGGAAACAATAAAAGAAAAGAAAAGATATTCCTTTAAAATCCCTCAAAGTAAACATCAAATGAATCATCTTTCAGACTTGTCCTTTGTTCATCTTTTTAGCAGAGCAAGTGATTGATTTGTTATTCAAACTCATCAACAATAAAAACCTTAACCAAATAGAGCATTTGTAATTTCTCAATATGCTTTTACATGTGTCAATATTTTATAATGTATTACCTTTCCCTCATCTTCCCGGCAACCAAAGCAAGCACAAGTTAATTTGGCCTCACGTTACTGAAGTTGTTTGGGTTGTTTTGTAAAGACTGAAGGAGGTCATGGAGGGGTCCAGCTTAATATTTTAAGTTCAATGAATTTGTATCTTTTTTCGTTTTCTAGTAGATATACGTTTAGATAGGATGTTTTGTCCTGCTTAAATTTAAAAGCTTACTATATTTATCCTCAATAAAAATAAAAAAGAGAGAAAATCATAGAAAAAATACCTTGCACAACAGTAAGAATTACTTATCGTGGAACTATTCTCCAAAGCCATGTGAATCAGACAACACGATTCATTTGCCATCAGCTCCCACCCTGCACTACAAGAAAATACACTTTTGGCGACTAAATTTTTAGTTGCCAAAAGTCTTTTTTTAGTCGCCAAATGTCAAATTTTCACTTTTCCCGACTAAATATTTTAGTCGCCGGTTTTGTCGCCAATACGTGGTCGCGCATACCTTTGGCGACTAAAAAACTGTTAGTCGCCAATAGACAGGTCTTCGGCGACTAAATAATTTGTCGCCAATAGTCAATTCCATTTTTGAAAATTATACCTTTGGCGAGACTAAATTGTTAGTCGCCAATAGTTAATTTTTTTTTTATTTATACATTTCCCGACTAAACCTTTCGTCGCTGAAAGCATTTTCAGGAAAAAAATTTTTTGCCTTCGCTGCTACCAAGTTTCGAACCTATGACCACCAACTTCCCAACATTCTCAACCTTTACCAACACTCTCTCCCCACTACGCCACTACAACCTCACGCAAATATTAATGCAACATATATTATTTATATACTATATTTGCCGGTAATAATACAAAACTATAGATATATAAATAATTATTTTTATTTAATGTATTTTATGTAAAAAAATAAAGTATTTACTAAAAAAAATATATGAGAGCACTTTTGGCGACTAAATCTGAATTTTAGTCGCCAATTCTATGCTTTTTGGCTACTAAATGCTGTGTTGTCGCTAAAAACATTAATTTTCGCCCCAAAAAACTACTTCCGGCGACTAAACTTACTTTTCGTCGCCAAAACCTGCACTTTTGCCGACTAAACTCAGTTTTAGTCGCCAAATTGTCCACTTTTAGCTACTAAATATTTTTTAGTAGCCAAAAACCTTTACTTTTGGCTACAAAAAATTTGTTTGTCGGTAAAACACCTATATTCGGCGACTAAAGTATTTTTTAGTCGCCAAAACCTATAGTTTTGGCTACTAAATGCTTTTAGTCGCCAAAAACCGTGCCTTTTAGCTACTAAAATTTTTGTAGTCGCTAAAACCCCTATATTCGGCGACTAAACTGACTTTTAGTCGCTAAAACCCCTATATTCGGCGACTAAACTCCTTTAGTCGGCAAAAGTCATCAATTTTGGCAACTAATTCCGTTTTAGTCACCATTTGTGCAACTTTCAGCGACGAAAATCATTTTTTTAGTCGCCATTGGTGCTTTTTGTTGTAGTGCTGAATCATAAAAACATCAAATTTGTGGTTGTAATTTGATGCTCACAAGTAGGGAGGGTGGAACAAACAAACAAAGAAGAAGGGGGAATTGCATTTAAGTTGGACAGTGAAAAAATAATCTCATTTTCATGGTGGTGCAAATCTTTCTTGTGTTTGGTGCTGTAAATCAAAAAGTATTATAAATTAACGCAGCGGATAAAAATAATTCGGATCATACCTTAATGACACAACCTCGTGGGTAAATCACGTGCTTCCAAAATCTGAACAACGAACCCAGCAGTGGAGTGATACTACAAAATGAGTATCACCCACACAAGTCACAGTGCAAAATGGCTTGATCGTTGTTTTCTGGGAGGGAGTCAGAGAAAGTATGGGAAAAAAGGTTATGGGTAAAAACCACATAACGTATATCTGATATATGTATATCTTTAAATTAACCATATAATCTGATATATAACAAATATCTATCTATCCATCTATCCATATCTATTGATATGATAGATATAGATATCCTGAATGGTTATCCAAATAAGTTTTGAATTCAAATTCAAACTTATATAGATAAGGTTCAAAAGGTTCAGGTTCAAAAGGTTCTAAAGGTCATGCCACATAGGCGCCCAATTTCTAACATCTCCCACTCGGACATGAGTTGGCGTGGCACTGCCACATCTCTATCACAATCTCCCAAAAAATAAACAATCTCGTACTAGCCACTGCACCGTGCGACTGCTGAGAACACCTGCATGTGGGAGCTCTATACTAGAAACTCAAAATGAGCCAGCATAGAGACATCAACCCAAAAAGAAAAAGAAATAGTGTCTCATATACCCCAGACCCATCTAATTACACCAGTCCAAAAAACATCTCTAATCCCTCAAAAAGAGCATGTTTGACCCTCTCAATTCTTGCAATATATTCACACTCAATTCGCCTCTCATACAGAGCGATGTGAGTTGCCGGCAGTGAATATACAACAGTAGTGTAATACTAGATGATCTTCCCTTTGCACTCATGCCATTTAGTTTAGGCTGGACTCTCATCCACGTTTCACATTGCACTCGTGAGAATAGATCAAAGGGATCTTGGGGGTCCGCTTAGTTTAGAATTGACCGCTTTCCCAGTGATGTCCGTTAAGGCCGAATCATACATGACCGCAGGCAACATACAAAGTAGCAGAACACAACCCCTTAACCTTATGACATTGTCAAAAGTCAAAAAGGGTACATAAATGAAAGTCATATCAATAATGACACGTAAGACTCACACGGTGAGAAAAACAGGCGATCCATTCTCTCACCCCATTACTCAGTCGCCAAGCATATATAGTATGAATACATGTTACGGTGGAGTAACTCTTCCAAAAGAGTGACGTCATCTCGATACACCGTACAGATAAAGTCTAGTCGCTTTCTAGCGCCTAACCCGAATTCTCTATTTGCCTCGCCTTCTAGGCGCCAAATGAGATCTCGCATCTGGCTAATCATAACAGCACAACATGGAAAGTGGATACTAAATAGCCATGTTTTGATCCTTAACACGACCTTATCTTGGTTGTAACCAAGGCGACATATATATGGATATTTAAGCTCTCTGTGAGCCAATCTTGCCTGCTGACATCATCATCTGCTAATCATTGTGACACAAACCATAATAGTGTTAACATCCCATCATCTCAAAATAAGTGATCTGATTTTTAAAAAAATTGACCACAGCTTGCGCAATTCTAGATTCCAAATATAAGCCTTATCAGCACCTCTTGCAATAAGCATATACAACGGAATCCTCAGTGTGCGCCTCACATGAAGTGATTCAAGATCACAATTCTAGATTCCAAACATAGACCTTATCAGCACCTCTTGCGATAAGTATATACAACGGAATCCACCATGCACACCTCACATGAAATGATTTAAGATCACTACCTCTTGCGCAATAACCTCTCTAAAGATATTTTGGTGACCAATTTGCATTCATTCTTGATGTGCCCAACTAGCGCATATACACCCAACTAGCGCATTGAATCTTACAAGGAGCAAATTAATATACTACTAGTAAAGCATTTTATCCACAGTCTAATGAGCAAGGTCAATGTCTAAACAACTCAGTTGACCATTTACCAAAGATAACACTTATCATGCCGAATACGCCCACATAGCGTACTTTAGGCTCCCACAACAAAGAAAAGATCAGGGAATATAGGTCATCTATTTCTCCTAAAGACAATCTGAGGATTCACTCAATAGCTAAGGCTCTGGCTTTTACCGATAAGTAAGTCAATAAGTTTGCAATTTTGCATCTAGAATCGTTCTAGGATATTCCTTATGTAAGTCATCGAAGACAAAACATGAATTCTCCCAAAGCAATCCCTAAGGATCGTACATCCGAGCATATAAATTACATCACCCATGTCCATCATATCTAAAATAGAGGACTGCCCACCCTAGGTGGCGACAACCTATAAATTCCTGGCTCATAATGACTAAGTAAGGAAAAACTTCTTTTGGACCATTAATCATG